TTTGATGATGATTGTAAAGTAGCAAGAAGAACATACTTGTCAGATAAGAATTATTATAGAAGAAATAAGACTGATACTAACTTCCAATCAATGGTGTCTAGTGGAAAATCTTATAAAAAGATGATAAACAAGAAAATTAAGTCTTATCAAGATAATATTAATAAACGGATACTTGGGTTAAAGTCGTCAGACCCAAAAGCTTTTTGGAATTTGTTAAATAGATACTGCACGGACAGCAGGGATACTGTGAATAATATTTCAAAAGAAGTCTTTCTTGAACATTTTGTTAAATTAAATGAATCTGATCTAGATATTGACAATTAAGATGATTTAGATCTTGAGAATATAAGTTGTAATAATAGCTTCTTAAATGCAGAAATAACTATTGAGGAAATTAAAAAAGTTGTAAAAAAATTAAAAAATAATAAAAGTCCTTCTGTGTTTGATAATATATTAAATGAATATCTAAAAAATGTAATCTTGGCATGTCAGAATATTTTCATTTACAGAAGGTAGATAATATTAATCACTTTAAAAATGTTGTGAAGCTTAGACTACAAGATCAATTTTTACAAGATTGGCATAGTACTATTGATACACCCTCTAAGTGTTTAGTGTATCGTACATATAAAAATACTCATTGTTTTGAAAAATATCTAGATGTACTTCCTTTTGACATAGGCAAATATTTATGTAAATTTAAAACAATGAATCACCTATTACCAATCGAAAAAGGCAGACATTTGGCAATTGATCATAATAATAGGGTCTGTTCCTTATGTCCGTATCAAGCTATTGGTGATGAATTTCACTACTTATTTGAATGTTCGTACTTTAATGACATAAGACGTAAATCTCTTCTTCCCAGGTTTTACACTCATCCCAATATTTTTAAACTTGACACATTAATGAATAGTTGTGATAAAAATATTCTTCTAAAATTATCTTTATTTTGTAAAAACATTATGTTAAAATTTAGATAAGTAATACTTCTCATTCTCCGTTCACATTTGTTACAATATAAAATACATGTTGTATTGAATTCAGAACTTGAAATGAACAATATGATCTCCTTTTTGTTTATTAAGCTAGTCATAATTGTATATTTATATTGTGATATTAGTGATTTTTGACTGTTATTTTTCTGTTTGTTTGTTGTTATAACCAGTTGCATATTATATGCCTTGGTTTAATAAAAACTGAAACTGATTCGCGTTATAACCCCTTTATACGCGTTATTACGCCTTTTGTTTCGCGTTAAAACGCGAATTAAGGCGTTAACACGTCTTTTAATTCACGTAATTACGACTTTGTTTCGCGTTATTACGCTAATAAAGGCGTTATTACGCCTTTTGATTCGCGTTAATAAGCCTTTTTTGCGTTATTACGCCTTTCTATTCGCGTTATAATGCCTTTCAATTCGCGTTATAACGCCTTTATTCGTGTTATAACTCGAAACCAAAGGCGTAATAACGCGAATCAAAAGGCGTTATAACGCGAATAAAGGCGTAATAACGCGAACATAAAGGCGTTATAAAGCGAACCAAAAGGCATAATTACGCAAATTTAATACCATATAAATTCCAAACCGTGTCCTTGTGATGTAAATAGTAAAGTAAGTAAGTAAATAAAGTCTTTATTTACTGAGGCTTCACATTTGGTTTCCCAATCTTCCATGTGGGCCTCATGTAAGATAGGAAGAACAATGTTGATTTAAATGAATTGATCAAGATGTACGTTTTATTTTCAATTCTGTACGCACAGGCCACAGTCTGGATTTTTAAATCTTTTATTAGGAAATGCTTTCGTGAGATTAGAGGTTACTATCACCCAACTATAGATATTTTTCGATAAAGACATCGAAGACAATGTCTCCTATAATTGTAACTTAACAAAAACACTTTTACCCCCTTAAGCAGACCTATCAATAATAAGAGATACTTACGTATACCTTACGTTTTCCTAAAGCCAATTACATATAGCGTAATTAGGAACGACATTCACATAATTAAAAGATACTACAGGTTATTAAGTAATTATACAGGACATATCCGTAGATAATTGAAGATATGACGCACATATAAAATAAGATAAGATATAAGAAAAAATAGAAATTCATTTACTATAGTGACATGTGTAAAATCAATGATGTGAATTCAGAGTCACCTTATATTGACAAATATCAAAGAGTCTTCATTAGTTTATGACAAATATTTTGCAATTATTGCGCAAATGGAAATATAGTTATTGTAAATGTATATTATATTATTCTATACGAGTTTATATCTTGAGCAATAAATACAGATCAATATTGTTCTTCCTTTCTCACGTTACTAAGCCATTTGATTAGTATAAATATGGTATAAAATTGGCATTATAATGCGTTTTAATTTGCGTTATTACTCCTTTTGGTTCGCGTTTCTACGCCTTTTTTCGCGTTACTACGCCTTTTGATTTGCGTTATTACTCCTTTTGGTTCGCGTTTCTACGCCTTTATTCGCGTTACTACGCCTTTTGATTTGCGTTATTACGCCTTTTGATTCGCGTTATAACACATTTATTCGCGTTATTACGCCTTTTGATTCGCGTTATAACGCCTTTATTCGCGTTATTACGCTTTTGATTCGCGTTATAACGCATTTATTCGCGTTACTTCGCCTTTATTCGCGTTTCTACGCCTTTTTTCGTGTTATTGCGCCTTTTGATTTGCGTAATTACGCCTTTTGATTCGCGTAATAACGCCTTTATTCGCGTTATAACGCCTTTGAATTTTTTTTTTATATATTATTTGACACTATTAGGCTTTCGTACTGTATCATTTTATGAAGATATATTTAAAAGTTAATATTCATAAAACGTTAAATAATTTAATTGCTCGGCGCAGTATCACCACACTGGTCAATTTCGCGTTATTTCAAAACAAACACCATTTTGAAACGGGGGTATGTGCGTTAAACAAACGCCTCCACCATGGAAAACAAAACTATTTGATAATATATAACAAATAATACAAACAGTTGATGTCAATTATGTAAAGTTGACATATTTAGAAAATAAAACGAAAACAGGAATGTACTCAAGAGTAATAGAGACAGAAAAAGCGTGCGATTGATTTTTCCAAGTCTGAGAATGAATACAATAAAAATGAAACGAAGTTAAACAAGTAAAAAATCAAAATCGCTTCTCCAATAGCAAGATGAAAATTACGAACAAACCAGAAGTTTAGAAATACAAGCATTTAGAGTTTACATAAATAATAATTTGAGATGAAGAATATTTCTGTTGTGAACACGTTTAAAGGAATAAAGTCAGAATAATTGGTTCCCGAAACACTGAACGGCCCTTAGAATTTAATGCGCCAAACATTGATGCATTTTACCAATCTACGTGAATTAAAAAAAAAGACCGGCTTTCTCTATCAAGACTGTATTGTTTATCACCTCCCCCTTTTCTTATGCTAATCCTAAGGCCATACAAACAAGAATACATATCATTTTGTTGACGTTATACATGTTTGATTTTGTTTTTATTGCTTTTATTGTTGATTAGGTTTGCCTTCTTTCGGTAGGTATCTACAAAATTGTATATATCATTAAACAACTGCAATGCATTTTTGATTAAGCTAAATAAATAGCGGACAAAATTTCGGGGATCATTAAAGTGACATAACGCCAGTACAAGTGTAAATGATGAGTGCACAGGTAAAAGGGCAAAATATCAAAAATATGTTCAACTTTAAATTTTACGGTGCAAAACTTATCAATAACCCATGTGACCCAAGTACGTTTCTATTGTCTGGAATTTATCAGTTTCGTTTGGGTTTTTTAAGAGTTAGACAGGCTTTAAACAAATGTAGTAAATCTAATATTTATTTACACAGAAATCTACTATTAATTATTATTTGATCACCATTATGATATTAAGATAAAATTGTGAAATAGTTTATAAGCTCAAAATTGGCAGGAAAAATGAGCATAATGCCTCTTTAATAACGAGCTAAATGAGTAGAAATGATAATTCTGACTTCTGAGATAAATTTTGTAACGCAAAGTAAATGTACATGTCTGTCATAAACATCCCTCTTTGAGTTGTCTATTATTATGTTCATGTTTTGGCGCTGAATAAAATTGTGAGTTTGTGTCAAGTCTTTTATCTACAACTTCGAGTGCAGCGACATGAAAATAGACATCTTTTTTCTATTTAATTATCCCTGTTAATTTCTCATCAGATTGATATACACATTCAGGTCTAAGTAATTTTACTATTGTTTTTACGTTAACTGACCTATAAATCCAGTTAAATGGTTTAATAAAGTATAGCTGTATACATGTATTCCTTTTTCACCCGTATATTGTGAGAATATCATTGCTGCATTTCTAATAAGTTTTGAAAATATTTTAGGATTTAAGGGTTGAATTTCATTAAAATGAATGGCGTTATTTCCGCACAATTTTATCAATTTACCAAAATACGTGCGCCGTAGTCGGTCACCCACTCTTTATTGTGTGGAATCTAGTATTGTAAAGAAAACAAAATTGTCACGTTTTTCGGATCAACCCATTAAACAAAACTTGTCATTAGTTCTTGTGCAAAAATATATAATAATTGTTTAAAAAATATATGAACATTTGCTATTTTTTGAAGGTTAAATGTACTAAATTACTTAACTCCAACAAGTTCCATTACGTCTCTTACTAAGCTGAGTTGGTTTAACGTGGATATACTTATACAATACCATTAGCGCAATTGAATATAGTCATTTTGTCTCGACGTTTGGCTTTTTCACCCTTATATTGTATAGTTGAATACATTATTTCAAATATAATTGTAAGAGTCTTTATTAGGCAAAACTCGAGTGAACCCATATATTATGAAATGTTATACTATAGTTTTTATGTTCTATAAATGTCAATAGCAAGTAAATATTGTACAACAGGAGGGAAAAACATAGTTTTACTAGTGACTGCAATCTGTTCTCCTCAATCACTGCGGATATCGGTTACTGAGAGAGACGTGTTTGTCGACTTCTGATATATCTCATATATAACATTGCGTGAAGTTGAGACAAAAGTATTGTTCAGTTGCCGACTATTTTCATTTCACGTTTTATCATTGTTTCTAAGAACACTTAAGTGTTAATTATTAGATATGTTTCGATATGGATTTTTGAATTCAGCAATATTCTTTCATTAATTGTCGTCATTTAGACAATGATATGATAATTTGAATTAGGGAAATTGTATTTTATATTTTCCGAAGCTAAAACGGAGTGGTTTATCAAATAGTTAGTGTGTTTAATGCATGATATTGCATAATGTGTGTTAAAATACAAATATGGATCTTTTATTATCCTCATATTTGATATAATCAACTACGCAAGGCCAAGCTGACTTTATGTGATCGTGTTATTTTAAAAACGAGAACTAATTATTTCTTTATAGTTGATGTGCGTGTTGAAGAAATGGAATTATAACAACAAAGGACAAAAATCATCAAAATGCTTAAAGAAATAGGTACGTTTCTCTCATGTGAGAATATATTTTTATTTTGTTTTATTGTTTTACTTTTGATGCTTTGTTTATTTTTATGTATGTTATGTAACGCTGAAATATTAACATTTATTTTGAAATTGATCACCTAAACGTGAACAGAAAAATAGTTTTACATTTTTTTTTCAATTGAACCTGTATATGAACTCCTGTGAAATAGCAAAATAGCCCTTACTGTTTAGTCGGGAGTGAATCAAAATGGCATTGTTCGTCCGTCCGTTGGTCTATAAGTTAGTCAAGAATCGGAAAACTTTAATATTTTTCCAGCTGCTTTCAGTTTAGCTGTCTTGGCGTTCAGAAAGTAAACTAAATTCTTGACTAATATGTTTGTTGTTTTTTGTTAATGTTTTTTTTAGATATTTCTTTGTATATTTTACTCGTCACGATGAACTACAGATTACGCTTTTAAATCAAGTTACCAATGTTCCTTTTCATACACAAATCCCTTTCCATTTACAACAAAAATGCAATTTAGTCAGAAAACTTCCGATTTGTTATCATTACATAAAAATAATGTTGTTTTATTATTGAATAAAATCGACTTGGTATATGAAAATGTCATGACGCATTATTTGAGAGTGATTGTTTATGATAAAAAATAATGAAATGTAAATGTAGAAATTCAAGACGATAATCAGTTATAAAATATTTTTGGCTTAAGATAACAATATCCAAATCATACATCAATCACACAGTCATTTACATGTAGATATTGATATTATTATTATTATTATTATTATTATTATTATTATCATTATCATCATTTAAACATAATATTGTCATAACATGGCTGCTGTGGTGAACGAAAATATTTTAACATGCTTTATAAAATAACAGTGTATAAAATAGAGTTTAGATGCACATTATTGTAATCACAAAAGTAAAATTGCATAGTTTTTAGCATACTACGACATGGCATTCAAAATTTCAAAATCTTCCTTGAATGAATACAATTGAAAATTGAAATTGAAAATTGCAAAGGTAACTTAATCTTATATGATATTTCTGATACAAGAATGATTTAAGGTGCCAAAAACTAACTCTTTCACTTCCAGAAAATTCAAATTGATGAAAAGCTAACATAAAAGAACTCGTTCTGTGCTTTTATTATTTGTTGGGGAAAAATGCATCGAAAATTGAAGGAATTAAATGAGATTATATTATAAATTTCATCTGCTCTGAAACATCTGTATTTTACGCACCGGATTTATTATTTAGAAGAAATTATATAGTCCTTCGTTTTTCTTTGAATAGATAGATGATCTTTAATGAGTGTCTGTTTGTATTACATACTTACAAAACGTGTGATTAAAGTGGAAAAAACGAGGCTTTGTTGCCATTTTTGTAGTCTTTTAATATTCTCAATTTATGTGATTTCAATTTAAATTGATAGAATATTAAGATCTTGTGATTTTGACGATATCGCTTTGATAAAGACACAACCCTCAATGTTGTTTCATGTTTGATGACTGGGTTAATGAAAACATAAATAAGATCATTGGTCGTCAGATTTACTAACATATTTATTTATTGCATGTGTGTATCATTAGTGGAATATATTTTGTCAGTTTCAAACTTTATTGGTTGTAGTGTACTCCCTTATCAACACATTTATTGCTGTCATCCAGTTGTTAATCTCCTGCCTGGGGGCTTGGGCAGAGATCTATATCTATCAACATACTTGAATAACTTCAATGTTAACTGCATAATTAATTGGTTTATTACTTTCCAAAGGTGTAATGAAATTATTGTGGCAAGTAGATGTATTACATAGTACACCATATTTAGCTATCTTTGTTTTTCCATTTTATTTGCTTTGAAAGCCCTATTATTAAGAAACTGAAAATTATGATTTGTAAATTAAACAGGTGGCGAGTTTTATCAAGATAATATTGAAGGAATCTCTTTTTAGTCACGGGCGAATACAAAACAGCGTTCTCTTGGGGGGGATAGGCTGACATGGGTGGAAGATTTTGACAAAAACAAAGGAAAATAATGCAGCAGGCGAAAATGGTGTAATTTTAAAGATTATGCCAGCATCTTGTTCATGTGACAAAAATTGTTATTGATGTGTTTTATAGCTCATGTTATGAGTGGCATTGTACTTTATTATATATGTGTATACTTCTGTTTTTGTAAATATTTAGATGATAATTAAGACTGGAATGAAGAAAAAGGCATGTGATTGGGGTGGGCTGTGGTGCACAGCTGTCAACCGTCTATTAGCTGTGGCGCTAGTCGAGTTTCATATATGTTTAGCAAATTGGCATAATTGTCGAATAGATTCAGTACTGTTGCCAACATTTTATTATTGAATCTTAAGGTTCATTTATTTCACACCGCGGAATGTAACATTTTGATACACACTTTATTATTTCGAGTATGAAACGGATATGTTTGTAATTTTATGGACTCTAAAATTGCAAAAGAGGCTAGCAGGAGAACACAAGTGATTTGGTATGGATTTTTATCCATTCTTTTTATCGAGTGCAACAATGATCTGATATGGATTTGTTTGACTGAAAAAATGAAAACCAAACCTATATTGATGGTATTGTATGCATATCATGATTTTCATTTTTAGATAACATGGTACAAACGCGTGAAGTTCATTTGCAACGTTCTAAGATGTGATATTGTATTATGGAACAACACATTTCATAAAATATACAAGTATCACAAAACTGATGTGTTTGTCAAAACATTTATCCATAAATCTTCAGAATTAATTGAAACATTAGTGTCCTTTGGTAACAACATTGTGTTTGAAATTAAAGTTACATTTTAAAAGAAAGTAATAAGTTCTATTTTGAGTAACTTTATTCAGTAAAGTTTAGCCATGAAGACAATTGAGTATGATCAGGATAAGACGACTCTTTACTTTAGAAAAAAAGCAGAGCCAGGTTATTTTAGGGTTGACGCGATTTGTTAAAGGAAAAATAAACAGTTAATAATTTTTAACCTTGACAAAGGAAATCCAAGTCATATATTCACATTGTAATAGACATTACAGATAATACAGACGTTACATAGAACATAAAAATGTTAAAATTGTGCCGTGGAATAAACACAAAATAATGTTTAAAATTCATTAATAATTGGTAAACTGCTACAAAGTAAAATCAATTTCAACACATTTATCCTAATATGTTAAACAAGTGTCGAGTTATCGTACAGAAAATAAGTAGCTAACATGCATCCTAATATGTTGACCTGGTGTCGAGTTATTATTTTGTATTGAAAATACACAGTAAACATTCACCCTAATCTGCAGGTTCTCGAAGATTTTTTCAATTTTTATAGAGTTTTGCCCTTGACATAGTAAATTTATTGCATTTTTGTGCCCCGGGCATATAGTAATTGAACCGTCCGTCCGTCCGTATGTCCGTCCGTCCGTCCGTCCGTCTGTCCGTACGAGGTTAACCTAGAACGGCAAGTTGGAATTTTCTTAAGTTCTACCTGTACCAATGGCTTCTAAGTTTACACACGTACTAATCAATACAAAGTACGTGATCTGGGCAAGTTTCATAACTCTGGCTTTCATATTTACCAAGTTATTGCCCTTTTCAGCACTTAGTAAATGAATAATGGTTAACCTAAAACGGCAAGTTGGAAATATCTTAAGTTATATCAATACTAATGGCTTTATAGTTAGCACACTTACTTATCAATACAAAGCACATGATATTGCCAAGTTATATAACTGTGTCATCCATATTTCCCAGTTATTTCCTTTTTTTTCACTTTGAAAATAGGGCCTTGTCTGGTTAACCTATTTCGGCAAGTTGGATTTATCTTAAATTTCTCCTAATTGCTTAATTTCTTTACTGATATCTTTCATATTTAGTAGGTGGATACCTTTGATTGTTCTCTAATTTTTTTTTTGGAGTAAGGGGTCTCTAGGGTCAAGGTCAAGGTCACTGGTTTAAAAAATAAATAAAAAACCTTTTTGCTCATACATCTTTTATTTTTTAGATGATGTCTTAGTTTAATACAAACACCTCCTTCTTTGGGTGTAGTATGGGGTCATTCGGGTCAAGGTCAATGTTACCAATGTCAAGGTCACCAATGTTAAAAATAGATTTTTACATTTTTACAGGTGTATTGACCTTATTCTATAAACAGATTTTATTTATAATTGATAGAAACATAAACTTTGATGGAGTTAGTGGTCAGTTGGGTCGAGGTCACCAGTGCTAAAAATAGATTTTTACACATTTGCTCATACAGCCTTTATTTAATGACAGATGTATTTCATATTTGGTAGGAAGATAACTTGCATGAAGTTGAATATTTTTCAACTTCACAAGTCAGAGCAATGACTTGGCAACTTATTGGCAGATATATTTTATATTTGGTAGGAAGATAACTTGCATGGTATTCATCCTTTTGATTGTGGTTGGGATCAGTAGGTCAAGGTCACTTGTGCTAAAAATAGATTTTTACACTTTTGTCCATACAGCTTTTATTTATTGACAGTTGTATTTCATATTTGGTAGGAAGATAACTTGCATGGTATTCTTCCTTTGGATGGAGTAAGGGGTCAGTTGGGTCAAGGTCACAAATGCTAAAATTGATTTTTACACTTGCCCATACAGCCTTTATTTATTGACAGATGTATTTCATATTTGGTAGGAAGATAACTTACATGGTATTCTTCTTTTGGATAGTGTTAGGTGTCAGTTTGGTCAAGGTCACCAGTGCTCAAAATAGATTTTTACACTTTTGCCCATACAGCCTTTATTTAATGACAGATGTATTTCATATTTGGTAGGAAGATAACTTGCATGAAGTTGAATATTTTTCAACTTCACAAGTCAGAGCAATGACTTGGCAACTTATATTTTTCACAATTACAAAATGCCATGACTTTGTCAAGCTATAAAACTTGTGTTTACAATTTTTTGGAGATTTTTCTGTCCATAAGTGAGTGAATGGGTAAACATTTTTTGAAGTATTGCTAC